AGAGGCCCTGAATCCTGGCGCTCCCCTGCCTTGGACTAGTGCCATCCTCGCAACCTCACAGACTCCTCTACCACCTAGGTTCCACTTGCAAGGAATTGCTCCCTGCAAGTCCCCACAGACAGTGCTAAGTCAATTAAGCAGCACATTATGCCCACATTTCCAGTCACTCAATAAACCTCATGGACTCACCATGAACTCTGACCAACCACCACCTGTTTGGGACTCATTGCCACATCTAACTCTTGATGCTGTTTGAACACTACCATTTGCATTGATATGGACACTGCTATAATATGCTCCTTGATATTGCTGTTTGTCAGCTGTATTTTTATTGACTACTCAAATTGCATTTTGATCTTTTCCTGCTTGTTTCTCTATGTTGCTTTATTCAGTGCATTCCCAGTTTGTGTAACCTGTTTTCTCAGAAAATGCTGACTCCCATGGGAAAGAGAAAGTTTGCAGGATACGAATACCAGCTTATAAAAAACAAAAAAGAGGGAGATGTGGAGGATTTTCACTGGCAAACCATGAGAATCTCATATTTCCCTCTATGAAACATAGGCTGTATTTAATAACTAAGCCTGGCTGGTGTTTACACACGTAAACACTCCTAATGAATAACTTGGCTGGTTTCTTGTCCTGTTTACTTGTCTCTGACCTTTGAGCCTGAAACAGGAAAAAGCATCTCCTGACAGTTAATGATGAACAACATCCAGATTCCTGTAAACAAGTTGGTAATAAAAAGGAGGGGGAAAATCACCCCCTCAAGCAGTTGCGCCCCCATTCTGTCTCGAGTGTCATTCCTGTAAGGAATCCCAACACCCGGTGTTAGTATATCTAACAAATTTAGGGAATCTGGGTCTTTTTCTGTTGAATATGTAGTCATTAATCATCTTTTGCCAGAATTTGAATTTGAGGGGAGTTGGACAAATAGGTATAGACTGGAGTAGAAAAAATAAATGTGGGACAAGAAACATCTTTACAATGGCAATCCTCCCAAGAATGGAGAGGTTTAAGTGTTTCCACTCCCTTATTTTTACTTTAATCCATTTACTGATAGGGTAATAGTTCCTGGGCACCAATTGAGATAAATCTTTTGTGATAAGAATGCCTAGATATGTGAATCCAGAGGGACATAGTTGTAATCCAGAGACATTTGTCAGCTTGTGGAGCATTTAGATATATAAGTTTAGATTTTTGATAATTGATCTTAAGTCCTGAGTGCTTCCCAAAGGTGTCCAATATTTTTTTTTATTTCAGGAAATGATGTTTCAGGTTTTTACACTGCAAGCAGAATGTCATCTGCATACAGCATTGTTTTGTGATGGTGGCCATTGATACGGGGCTCCACAACATTTGGGTTTGACCTAACTAGTTCAGCTAGGGGGTTGATAAAAAGTGTGAATAGTATTGATGAGAGGGGACATCCCTGCTTAGTGCCTCTGTGTAAGTTGAAGCAATCTGAGTCTACCCCATTAACCAACACTATCACTTCTGAGTGTTTGTATAG